TCAACTAAGCTACACGCATTGTTGGTTGCATACGTTTTGTGAAGCCGAATGGTCTGTAGTTTCTATCTCTGAGAAGAAAGTTGGTTCAGTGATATTTGCTGTGTGAAAAAATTATCACAGAATATGCTGCCAATGAAGTATATCTATTAGCTGTGCTCGACGGGTTATTTATATGTTGTCCTTTCTGAATACAGGTTATAAATTACGAAAAACTTCGAGGAGAATTACGGGCAATCTTCACCGCGCCCTCTCTCACTTTTGAATTTCATCAAATTTGCATATGCAATTTCCAGAATGGATGAAAAAAAGTGGATGCGCAACTAATCTCTAGCTTTGAATCGCAAGTAAGTGTATTTGAGACAAGAATCCAAAGGAATTATAATCATCACGTACAACTTACAGCTCAGACCTCCAGTAATGTCGTCTCTGAAGCAGATTCTACAGACATTGATAACTGAAGCCTCATGACGTTCAGACAACACGTACAACTACAAAACGAGTTCACAACGTATCTATCAGCTAGTGTTAAGTTAACATCTTGTACAAGAACCTACATAATGTCACAAAAACCAATACAATGTCCAAAAAGATCAGCATGATGTCACTAAGATACGTAATACCCGTTCCATCATTCTCCTGAAAAGACAAGATCTGGCAACCCTGATCAGGGGTATGTACTATTTATCAAAAATCCTGGAAATTGGTGAAAACAGGAAACGAAAGTGTATCCCATTATTTGAGATAGTTAGAAAACGTGTAAACCTGCCATGTCCATCTCATGAAAGAATGGAAAACCAAAAAAATTGTTAATATGAAGCGGTTACCCATCCAAATACTAACCGCGCCCGACGCTGCTTAACTTCAGCGATCGGATGAAAAATTGAGAGACGACGCTTTCGCTGACATTATTCTTGCGTAAAATAGTTCGCTCGCGAACTAGTTCGTAGAACTAGTTCGTTTTAGTGAGCTAAACAAATTGAAATGGTTCACCGAAATGAATTAAAAAACATTACTAGATATCCTGGCCTATAAGCTCATCACCCTGCGGCGCCATGTTTGCAGACCAGCCGCGGCGAATTTTTGCGAAAATTTATGCCGTCGCCATTTTTTGCCAACGACTGCTGTGAGAGTAACGACGGTGTTCGATGGAGGAAAATCGATAAACGACGATTGGAAAATAAAATTGACCTAGATCTAGGAGGCTCTACGCATAATTTCACGTTTTAGTTCAGGCGTCGCTTGGTTACAAATGGCCTGTTTGGCTGAGTGCTGTTTGGAGCCCGATGCATCCCGGTCTCGTATACAAGATGGCTCAAAAGTCACAGGAGAATGGAGAAGAAAGACCAGGTCGATTTAAGAGGCTTTTGAAACGACCTAAAAGGTAAACCTATGTGGTAGGTGATTGAGCGACTTTTCAATTTCAGCCTAACATGACCTTCAGAGGCCGGTCTGTAGAAAATTCAATTTCTTAACCTCTTCTAAGTTCATCCTTGAGGTGGATTTGAAATGACCTCCATTGTACTGAAAAACAAAGTAACGACTGATTCGAACTCAACGACCCAGAAGACCTATACGGCAAGTTGTCGGAGTCGACTTTTTCTGACTTTTCACAAATTTTTGCTTGAAGTGACCTTGAAATGAAGTGACTTTGAAATGACCTTCAACGCCCTCATGGAGACAAAATAGCGTCGGATTAGAACTCAACGTTCCGAAAAATCCATATAGCAAGTGGTTGAAATCGATTGGTTTCGTTCATTTGAATTTGTCCGTGGAGTGACCTTGAAATTAAGTAGCTTTGATATGACTTTCAATGGCTTCAGAGGGCAAAATAGTGTCTGATGTGAACTTGTCGGCCTTGAAAGCCTATATGGCAAGTGGCTGGAATCGACCTTTCTGACTTCTTTTAAATTTGTCCTTGTAGTGACTTTGAAAAATGGCTATGAAATGACCTTCAAGGCCCTGATAAAATGATGTCTAATTCGGACACAACCACCTGAAAAACATATATCGCAAGTGGTTGTGATCGACTTTTTCTTACTTCTCTTGAATTTGTCCTTGGAGTGACCTGAAATGGTGTAGCTTCGAAATGGCCTTCAACGCCCTCATCCAGAGAAGAGGGTATTATTCGAATTCGGTGATCCAGAAAACCTATAATGCAGGTGGTTTGAATCGGCTCTTCACTAGTTTTTAATCTGGTATAGGAGTGACCTTAAAATGACATTCAAGTGCCCCTATGCAGTCAAATTGACCCCAAAACTAGACTCAACATTTCAAAAAACCCATTGTCTTAAGACAAAATAAGGTATAACTCGAACTCAACTACTCGTAAAACCTATGTATATATATAGCAAGGCTAGAATCCTTCTGGCTTGAAATGACTTTGAAAGTGACATGAAAATGCCCTTATACAGTCAAATCGCTTTAAATCTAGACTCCATATTTCTAAAGACCCATATAACAGATAGGTGTGTACTCAGTTGCCTGATTTCTCTTGAATTTGGCCTTTGAGTACCTTTTAAATGATCTTAGAAAGTCTATATAGGAACAAATTGACCTTATTCTCGGATTTAGTGGTCTCTACATGTGGGTATACTTATTCGAATTCTTAATTGAATTTGTACTTGAAGTGGCCGTAAAATAACCTCAAATATAGAATACGAATTCACTCCGAAATCGGTTTCAAAGAGCCAATATCGGCCTTCTGTAAATTAAAGGGAAAAATCTTCTCCTCCAATCAATAAGCAGTTCTTAAAAGCCGCGAAGCTGAAAACATAATAAAAACGTAAACGCCATAATTCACGTAGGCCATTTTTTCCAATTTCAGATGATCTCCTTCAGCAGTATCGGGAAGCAGTTATCGAGATTTATTGTTATTAGTCTTTGATGGAGATATTAGTCTGACAAGTTTTCATTCTTTTCATTCGAATCGTGTCGCATTATACGAGAGTTATTGTAATTAGTTTTTCCCATTTTTCTTTTATTAAAGAAGACGGGAGCAATCTTACATCTGGCAATATAATCAGATCGAGAATAAGGTCAAGTTGGTTTTCATTTATGCTACAGAGGATTCTGAGTTCTAATCAATGAGCTTATTGATTCTATGGTAGAGATTTAATGATAGATGTGGACCGATTGACCTAGTTGTGTAAGTGAAATATGCCTTGTGTTTCTGTTATAGAGTCTGGAAAAATAGTTTTGCTACAATCCGTTGTAGTAAACACTATCATTGACCGCACTCCCAATTGAAATTTTGCATTTCTCTCCCATGGACAGTAACAATTATTTAAAATAGTATCCTTTTAACCTCTATCACTACATTTATATCGAAGGTTATGCTGGACTAAGATTCAAAATTCCCGATATATCCTCTTAACAGCATGAGCCAGTTCTTCAAATAAGTAGGAATGGTTATGTCTCCACCGATATAAACACTTTAATCCGATTTTAGAAATTCTGTGGGCAACGTCATACTAGAGCCAATATCATTTGTCATGTTGTCAAGGATTGAAAGCACAAAATATATGCATGGAAAAAAGGATATCAGACAGTAGTTGACCCCATGTGCTTGAAAGTAGATGATCTTAGACTCAATCTATATAAACGCCTCATATATGGGATTATTCAAATCCTAAATAATCAAGCATGATATATTTCTTGCCTTACCGAACAAAACTGTCCCTGGGACCAAAGCAATCCAACCTTATGATTAGTTGGTGAGAAACGGACGGATAAAGCTTGTCCGATTTGGAAAAAAGGTGAATGTTCTGATTGTAGTTCTCAGACCAAAAACTCGGATAATTATTAGTATGCTAAAAGAAATATTTCGTTAAAACACGCCGTGGGAAGTAGTTGGGAGGTGTCATGTTGATCGCGACCATGAATTTTACAAGGTCAGTTCCAGAGCAGGTTGATTTTTAGATGTTTATGCTGGAATAGATCTGGTACGCATTGCTCGAGAATTTAGATAACTTAAGGACAGGTAGCTTTTCAAGGGCACAGAAAACTCTATTTTCTTGTCCTAGATTTTGACCTTTACAAGGTCAAATTGAGATTATGTTGATCTTAAAGATGGAAGGGAACGGGAACGTAAATTGTATTTTATTGACTATAGATTTCAGTTTTTTGTTTTATCGAATGATTTAAGTTAACTTTTTCGAAGGATAACCAAACGTCATTATGATAGCGATAATATCAAAATACCACATAATCATTGAAACGTTATCAGGTAAACCCCATTGCTTTCATAAACTTTGTGATAAGATATATAGTACATACTCGACACTTTAGAGACATTAATAATTACCTTTTGCGGTTACCTTCTACTTCTAGTGACATTAAACTATCTACTTAATGCAAGTACGTCTTCCACTTGAAAAGTTTAGGATTCTTGATTTAAAAAGTCGTTTTCGTTGGTGGATCTAGACACTTTGCAGAAAAGTTTTGTAGCAAAGGACTTCGAATGGCGTATGAGCTAATGGTAAACCGCACAAGTAAAATCCCTTATAATCTTCATCTGATTTAAAATTTTCGGCAATGTAAACAGTTTGTAGGAGGAAAACGCAAACTTTGCATTCAATCGATGATTTTTGTAGATCTCCAAATGCATTAAAAGTTAGAGTGTTTTAAGATTCCTGAAATCTAGAGCAACTCGTCCGGAGACTGACCTGATAAGGATCACGGTCACGATCAACATGATATAATTGTAGTCACCGTTCTTGGCGGTTACGTCATCAACGTCATATATACGTTAATAAGTGAACAGACCGAACCATGGGCGGATCTTAATTTTCCTAACTGAGGGAAACTGGTTTGAAATGCAACTAACCCTTTCAGTACGGGATCTTTTTTAACTGTACTGTCACCACCGCCGGCTCATTTTGCATTGTCTGGGCGCCTGATGACGTATATATACGTCGCCATAATAAAGGTTAAAGTACAGTAACACAGGGAACGACGCAGTTTGAAAACTTTATTACTCAATAAAAATCAAACATTGAGATGCTGAAAATGTAATAAAAAAACCCAGGACTGAACGAAAAAAAAACATTGAGAAAGTTAAGTTTCAAAAGTCCGCTACTTGATGATAAATCCGAAAGCAGGGCACTACCCATAGCCCAACGTCGCATTCTGTACACATGTATTTCTTTTCTTTGTTTCTGCTTTCGTCTGGGAGCAGACTCTGCATCTTCTAGTGGCAGTTTTCTTTCCCTCTTTTCTTGGAACCAATTCGTAGGTGGTAGATGGTCTTTGACTGTCGAACGCGGAGGTACCACCCGGCGGTTCTCGTAGGCGGAGCCAGAATGTGTGCATGTTGCATGCACACGTGTTCCCTCGCCAGAGTCCGTGTGGCGTGCCCCCTTTCCCATGTATCCCCCATAGCCCCACGGTACCCAATGGGTGCTTAGGCCTTAGGCCTTCGTGGTAGTTGGAGTATAAAAAAAAAAAATTCTAGAAAATGCCGTTCTGTCAGCCATGCACTTCCCTGATCAAAATGAAGTGGTTTTGCTGTTATTGTTGTTGTTGCTTACGCTTTTGACCACGTGTAGGCCTTTCAGAGGGACCAGCGCGCTCTCCCTTCTCCATTTCATGTAAGATTAATCATAGTCTAATGCTCGGTTTCAAAAATCGCAAGCATGATACAGACGTTAGCCGGATGTCGTAAAAGTTTCGGCAAAGCCAAAATCTTCCGTCATCCGGCTAAGCGGTGAGCGAAACGTTGACATAATATTCCGACGCTCTGTGGTAAAATGAAAAATTCTAAAGGTGTCGAATCTGTAAGGCAGTAGGCCAATGGATGTAATTAATCGATGTCGGATATAAACGTCAGCCGACCGGTGGGTATATTCTATAAATGACGCATAAATATGTCAGCCATACTAAAAGGGCTAAATAAATAACTGCTAGCCAAAAAAATACATTTTGATGATGAAGCTCTTAAACTCGTGCTTTTAAATCTATGTCACCTTAATAAACATCAAGCTTTTAACTTCCATATCTATCAAAATATTTAACAATCTACATTAAGGTGAACACATAGAAAATTAAAATAAATTTTCAAAATTGTTTCATTAAAAGCGTGAGCTGTTAGATTTCTTCATCAGAGTCATCTGAACTTTCTCCCAAGTAGATGATTATATTCGTCTCCTCCCTATTAAACACTTGATGCTTGTCCCAGTCGTTTTTAATCAAGTCCTCGGTACGTTTCACACACTTGGCCCAAACTGTAGGAGTTACCTTCGATAGAGCATCGTCCCAAACTTTCAAAACTTCCTTGTCACCATAGCCATTTTCCTCAATATAACGATCAGTTAGTTTGGCTATTCCGCAGACTAACTCCATAGGGTTGTATTGACAATGGTAAGTAAAGGGCCGCAAAACTTGATGTCCATGTCCGTGTAGTATTTTGTCTATGATTTTATCTTGGAGCCGATGACTTATTCAGGCGACATAGATTCACAAGCTCGAGTTTAAAAGCTTCATCATCAATATGTATCTTAAATCATTAGATTTAGAAATAACTTTTTAAAAAATTTATTTGAGGACTGAGCTTTCGGTCCATATAAAATACAAAAGTTTACAGATGTGACATTTACGGAGTTTACATAAGTGACTGTTACGGTGCCTAGCCGGGTAATGAACGACATGAAATGGGCGCAAGGCCTATTTATACTATTGGTGTGCTTACAAAGCACTTTTAGAAAATAAAGCGTAAACAACGTGTTAGCGAGAAGTCGTTATCTGTCGCTGAGCTAGCGTCTGGTGCAACATTGTATGGAATAGTAAGTCCATTGTTTTGAGTGCATATAACAACTTCCCCCTATTACAAAAAGTTGTTGCCATGCGACAACTTTTGATAAAATTAGAAAAGTGTAAATGATGTAAAAATTCAAAAATGTAAAAATGTAGAAATGTAAATTGTAAACATTGTAAAATATAAAAATATAAAAGTAGGAGTAATAAAATTGCAAAATAACATCAGAAAATATAGATTCTGAAAAATAAAATTGTTAGCATAAATGCGGTACATTGGCGATGCTAAATAACATCTAAAAGCAAAGCTGGAACAAACAAATAATAAGATACAATCGTACAGTCGTACGGGCAAAATCACATGGTAGATAACACGAAAATTGGAAATGTCTTTTTGAACAGTGAAAACACTTCACGGAACACTCACTGCAGTTCGATGTCTTCTTCATGTGGCTGGATGGATGGTCTACGTCGAGGAAAAAGTCTGGGAATGTACCGGACTTTTGGTGCTCCTGGAGATGGACCATCGGCTGGATAATTTGATGCGCAGATGCTGAGTGGTCTACGTTTTCTGCACTCGCAGAACAGGTACAAAGCTACGATGATAACTAACAGGGTGATGATGAAATACGTGAAACATGAGAGATGTCTTGAAACAAACGGCTCGTTCATAATTTTGTCCAGTTGTTCAGAATATTGGTTTAATTTGTGATTGGCAATTTCGAGTTCTTCAGTATCGATCTTGCTTAGCTTGATCGGTTTTAATTTTGGTAAATTTTGTTTCTCTGGGAGATGTTCACAGCATTTGTAGGGTACTTCTACAGGGTGACTTTTGTATGTGATATTCTTGTAGGTGCTAACAGAATATCTAGAATGTAATCTCGTGGTGCCTACAAAGCCACTGCATTCGGGTTGCATTTTTAAAAGTGAATTAACTTTTATCACTTTGGTGGTAGTCTCTCGTTGTCCACACTTCATCGTAATTGGCAGAGGGCTAGATATGGTGATTAGCCAAAAATTGGTTGCAAGTTCTTGGATTTGGTAATCTTGCAATGCCACAATTGCTATTTGGCAGGCTGTCGGCAGATCTACCGGATTTCGCAACAACTGTGCTTCGCAGACTGCATTACTGTCTATTGAATACGGCAAGAGGTTGAAACAGATTTTCACCTGAGACTGAAGAACTTTACAACTACCTAAGTTTTGAAAGGAAACGTACAAAAGAGAATCGCTATCTTTAGCAATGTACCTCTGTATAGTGGAGACTACATGAAACAAACCAGTACGTTTATCGAGAATGGGTAGAGGAATCACTCTGTATAAAGTATACATTTCGGGCTCTAATAACGGGATGCGTAGAACGAATACTACTCTTGTTTTAGTTTGATATGCTTCGAGTTCCATAAGATTAAGGTACTCTGACACTGTTGCTAAATTAACCGGAAGGGGTAAATTATTTCTCGACAAAGTGTGAGAAATTTCTTGAAGAGAATTTACGAGAAGTCTTGAGGAGTGATAATAGAAGGATGTATTATTTTTTAACGTGCAAAAGTAATTGAATTTAGAATATCATTAATTGTCTCTTCCAGAAACATGTAGCTTTCCATTAATTGTTCGCAAACTTCTAAAAATTGGAATTTAGCTTCATAAAATGCAAGATCGTCTGAAATTTCATAAATTTTGTTATCAATGACTTTAATATCTTCATTAAACGTAGTTTCATCAATCATAAGTTTTTGAATAGTGTTATTAAAATTCTTGATAACCGACATGGTAACAGAAATTTGGTTCTTCATGAGGTTTTCGAGCTCATGTTCATCTTTAGAAATTTTGTTAATACAATCGTTATAGTATTCACCGTCCGATGAATCGAGGTTGCCGGTTATTGCTTTCCATTCAGTACCTATAGCGTTAATCCGACCGCGTTTCATCCGCGATGCGCTTACAGTGTCATCGAAGATTGCGTAATATTTAGATTCCAAGGAACGAGAAATTTGATAAAGGAGACTTGTATGAGTTTTAATTTCACCACTAAACATTTTCATACGATTGGTGGGTTTGTCTACGAGATATGATAAGTGTTCCAGAATATTGTTGTTATCGTCAAGTGCTTTCTTAATGAGTTCTAAGTCTTTATATACAAGGAGTGTCCAAATGTCGTTGGAAATCTGAAGAGGGGCGTCTTCATGAAAATAGATACCTAAGGTGTTGTTAAGCGGTTTGATGTCTATCTGGGCTGTGACAGCCGCAAGAAACAGCAGACTGCACCTGAAAGAGAAACTAAGTCTCAAAACATGGTTTCAGTCTGTCAAAATTAACTTTACTTATTCTTTTTGTTTCCGGGTTCTTAAGGAGCGCAGAATTTTCAAAAACTTGAGTAATTTCGAATGGACCATCAAATTTGTTCTGAAGTTTGTTTGAAATTTGAGACTGTTTCACAAAGACTTTATCGCCAATTTTATATGATTGTAAATTGGGTGACACTCTACTATCAAAGCGAATTTTTGCTTTTTGCTTCTGTTCGTCAGTTCTCACGCGGGCAATTTTGTAGTAATATTCGAGTTTATTCCGAATGTCTCGAACATACTTGGACATCAATTCTTTTTCTAAATATACGTGTTCGGGCGGACGACCAGAGGTGTGGCCAAACACGAGCTCGTATGGTGTAAAGCCAGTAGTTTTATTTCTAGTGCTATTGTAGCACTGAACAGCATAGGGAAGAATATTGAAGGGATGTTCGTTGGGATTAGGAGTTTTGGTGACGTTTTGGCAAACGACAAGTTTGATATTATCATCCGAAAAAATAAAAGAGAAAATTTCTAAAATGGGTAAGTCCAAATTATTTTTAACGTAGATTTGTTGGGATAGGTCGAATACACCTTTGTTGGTTAAAATTACAGAGAAAAGATGCTGTATGCAAGTTACGGGATCGTATGGCACAGGAATAATATAGTATTTTCTATCTTTAATTGTTTTGCTAGACGCGATGTTAATTTTATTTGCAGAAAAATCAAGATTTTCTTCGAATATGTCTTCGATAATTTTTTCGTGAAGATCAGATAGAGTGTTTTGTCTGAAAAACGTGACGATATGTTTATGACTTTTGTCTAGGAGTTGGGAATTTGAAAATTGAATTTTGGAATAATCGATCAGGGATGTGGTTTTGTAAAGGCGGGCAAAGATATCAAATTCACTTTCGGAAAATTGGGTAGAAGGTTCTCCTTCTTCGTCACTATGGGTAAGGGCGTTAACAGTTTTGGATAATTTGATACGTGATAGGGCATCGGCATTTTTATTAGCCTTGCCTGGCTTGTACACTATTTCATAGTCGTACTCCTCTAGCTTGAGGCGCCATCTTGCTAATCTACTTCCGGTGTCTCGGCAAGAGAAAAGCCACGTAAGGGGTCTATGGTCTGTTACGAGTTTAAACTTTCGACCATACAAATAAGGTCTAAAATGTTTTACACTCCAGACAATAGCTAGAAGTTCTCTTTCAATGGTGGAATATCTCGTTTCTGCTTTACAAAGTGTACGAGATGCATAGGCTATCGGGAGATCTT